CTGGGGCTGCAGAGCCTTGTTAAGCTTCGTTAGGGTCCTGGTTGAACTGAATTTGGAGGGTAGTGGAGATTTAACACCCTTCTAAGGTGCACCTTGCAGACTCTAAGGGCAGCTGTAGACTTTGTGAGAGCTTTGCCAGGGCCAGTCCTTTCCAAAATCACAGCTTGCTTATAAGACTTGTTGCCATGTGTCTCACCCTACCATTTCAGAAAAATGTTCGTTGGTGGCCTGAGCTGGGATACTAGCAAAAAAGATTTAAAAGACTATTTTACTAAATTTGGAGAGGTCGTTGACTGTACAATAAAAATGGATCCCAACACTGGACGGTCAAGAGGGTTTGGGTTTATCCTGTTCAAAGATGCAGCCAGTGTGGAGAAGGTAAGCTGGGTGCTGGATTTCAGCGGTCTCAGTGGAAACGATTTGAATTCTAAGAGGACACCTTTCTTACAGCATGACTAGTTTGTGTGTTCTGCATGTGGTTGAGTGCTTTGGGCAAAGCCAGAGGTTATGTTCCGGTTTTTGAGGGGACGAAAATACAAATTAAGCTGGGAGTGAGAGTATGTGCTGGAGTGGTTCAGGAAGATTATAGCTGACATTCATTACCTTTTATGTGCCTATTCTGGGCACTGTGCTAAACATCTGGGAGGATTACAAGATAGTCCAAGATTGCTATGATAGGCTGTTAGCCCCATTTTACAGGACAAAAACCAAAACCCTGAGGCTCACACATTTAAGTAGAAGAGGTCACAGCTAGTAGGGAGTGGAGCGAGGATTTCATCCCCTGCAGCCCATCTTCAGCCTGTGCTGAGTCCCTGCTGCTTTGCTTCTGGAGATGGGCCTCACGCTGGGACTGCTTGGGCAGAAAGAGCATGATCAAAGGCTTGAGGGTGAGGACTGCTTTCTAGGTGTCGAGGTAAACCAGCTGTACTTGAGGTTTGAAGAAAATTGGGTTGGGAAGTTAAGCTGGGGTAGAATTTGGAGGGGGTGAAACACATTTTTGTATCTGTGCTGGTGTCTTCATGGCTTAGAGAGAAGGGCCTTGTCTGGCTCATGCTGCTGAGTCAGCCTGACCCCTTTCTGTTGGAACAGGTCCTAGACCAGAAGGAGCACAGGCTGGATGGCCGTGTCATTGACCCTAAAAAGGCCATGGCTATGAAGAAGGACCCGGTGAAGAAAATCTTCGTTGGGGGTCTGAATCCTGAAGCCACTGAGGAAAAGATCAGGGAGTACTTTGGCGAGTTTGGGGAGGTGAGTGTGGCCCTGGGAGTAGCCCATCAGCTGCCCTAAGGCTGCCTTCTTTCTGGTCCTTGGTATCCTTGGCTGAGTAGACCCTCCCAGGCAGGGCTTATTTTTCACTCTCTGCCTTCAGTGGGGTCTTTCCTCCTGTGAGTCCCCTATACGCTCTGGGGTAGAGAGGTATTGAGCCTGAGTTTGCCTATGCTTTTTGCAGATTGAGGCCATTGAACTTCCAATGGATCCAAAGTTGAACAAAAGACGAGGTTTTGTGTTTATCACCTTTAAAGAAGAAGAACCTGTGAAGAAGGTTCTGGAGAAAAAGTTCCATACTATCAGTGGAAGCAAGGTAAGGTGTCCCCAACTCTGCTTGGCATCCTGTGCTGCTGGAGAGCTGGCCCTTAGAGGGGTGGGGGTTAGGGGTTGGGCCACGGTGCAGGAGCTCTCCAGGTTGGTTAGACCTAACTATTTCTCTGAAGTGTATGCTGCCCTGGTTGGGGCAGTGTTCTGATCCTTCAAAGACTTCCCGGGCTGGGAGGACTGCCAGTAAACAAACACAGGATGTGAGGGAGGCAGGAGAAGGTGGCCTCTGAATAGAGCAGGTTGAGTAGCCTCTTTAGTTTGTCATTTAAAGCTAGAGGTGAGAGTGTTCTAGATTTTTGAGTCCAGGGTGTATGAAGCCTGCAGTTAAGGTCTCAGAAGATCCTAGAACTTCTGCAACTCACTGATTTTCCTCTGTGGTGAAGTTTTTCTTGCTCCAGAGCCTTTTTACCTCCTTCTACAACCAAATCTTTGTCCACTTCCATCCGTTTTGCTGCTTTGAGTTTTTTTTTTTTTTTTTTGCTTTGAGACAGGGTCTTGCTTTGTTCAGGCTGCGGTGTGGTAACACTATCATGGCTCACTGCAACCTTGACCTGGGCGCAAGGGATCTTCCCATCTCAGTCTCTCAAGTAGCTGGCACCACAGGCATGCACCACCATGCCTGGCTCATATTTTCTTTTTTTTTTTTTTTTTTTTTTTTTTGAGATGGAGTCTCGCTCAGTTGCCCAGGCTGGAGTGCAGTGGCACGATCTCAGCACACTGCAAGCTCCACCTCCCGGGTTCATGCCATTCTCCTGCCTCATCCTCCTGAGTAGCTGGGACTACAGGTGCCCGCTACCATGACCAGCTAACTTTTTTGTATTTTTAGTAGAGACTGGGTTTCACCATGTTAGCCAGGATGGTCTCAATCTCCTGACCTTGTGATTTGTCTCTTGGCCTCCCAAAATACTGGGATTACAGGCGTGAGGCACTGCGCCTGGTATTGTATTTTTTTTTTAAAGCCTGGTCTCACCATGTTGTCTGAGCTCACCATCCTCTGCCTCAGGCTTGTAAACTGTTGGGATTACAGGCATGAACTGCCTCACTTGGTCTTCTGGGCACCTCTTTAAGTCAACCCTATACCCAGGCAAAAATCCTTCCAAAGATCTCCCAGGATCCTGGCCAGCTCCAGGGTCAGTTGTGCTTTCAAATGACTGGAATCATGTGCAGAGACGTGTAGCTCTTCCTCCCTCTTGAACTCTGGTCAGGGAAAGGGTAGTTCAGGCTTCAAGTTGGCAGTTGGGAGTTGTGGGTGCGGCCTGCAGTGGCAGGGTGTGGCAGGCTCTGTTTCTGAGCAGGAGTTGGCAGCCAGATAACGTAGGACAGGTGGAGCTCCTGGAAGTCTCTGTCCTGGCTGGGAGTTTGGGAAGATTGGATTAGGATAGTCTTAAATTTTCTATAAAGTGACAGTCTTTGAGGCAGTTAAGGGAGGCATTGGTTATTACTCCATTGGACAGTGATAAAGAGGCCTTTTTCTCTATGTGCCATAATGGGAAATGGGGTGGGAAGAGCCTCTGAGGCAAAGTTTAAGTGAAACTATTGGTAGTGAGTCTTAGAAGTAAGTATATTTAGTTGGTTGTATTCAGTATTTTTAATTCAGTAGGATAGAATATATATGAGATTGCATTATTTTGCCGATTCAAAGTATGACTATATGGGGACACTGTAAAATGTACTATTTTTAATGGGGGTGCGTGTCAGGATTTTCTTTAGAAATACACTGGTCTGGTCTAACTTATTTAAGCAGGAGCATTGAAAGTACCCCAGCCTACCCCATCCCACCCTCAGTGGACAAAAAGGAAATTGACTGACTTGAGGGGATGCAGACATCTGGGTCATCCCAACAGACCAGTGGTTAGGAGGAGCGGGTGGGTAGCATTATGGCCTCAGGCAGGCCCCCCATCCTGAGCCTCTGAAAGCCTCTGAGACTTTATCTGTAAGAGGGAGGTCAGGGTCGCCTTCTCAATAGCATGTATTTGAATGAGATGAGTTCCTTCTGTAAAGAGAAAAAGATGTTAAAACCTCATTGTGTAAGGCCCCTCATCTGAGAAGTCTTGTCTGACCCTCTAGTCCAGTAGGACCAAGGTGTGATGCCTGCTCCCAGCCTGTCCTCTGCTCCCGTGGGCTGCAGTTGGCCCAGTTGCCTGCCTCCATTAGACATGGAGTTGCCCTGGGGCTGAGATGCCCATCTCAAGTGCATTCTGTGGGAAGGGTTCTCTGCTGGAAGGCCCGTGGTTTTAGTTGGGATTCCATGAGCTTTATTTAGCTCAAGGGTGACCTCCCACACTAGCATATTTTGTTTTTGAGCAGATGGACCTGATCTGATGTTTGTTGCAGTGAAGATCTTTGTGCAGTCACTGCCCTGAGTTTGTCCTACTGGCCTGACCACTGTTCTCTTGGCTTTCAGTGTGAGATCAAGGTGGCCCAGCCCAAAGAAGTCTATCAGCAGCAGCAGTATGGCTCTGGGGGCCGTGGAAACCGCAACCGAGGGAACCGAGGCAGCGGAGGTGGCGGTGGAGGTGGAGGTGAGTGGAACCTGGATGAAGATGGGTCCTGTTTCCCTGCCTACATGGAGCCTTCCAAACCTGTCTCAGGGCTCCCTCTGGTGCTGTGCAGCAGGGGTGGGCAGACTGTGAGGTGGGGGACGAGCAGGAATAGGAGTGGCTCTGGGTCAGGGCTGTGTGCTTGAGGCTGTTGCTGCCTGCTGCTGCCCCTTGGAATGGCTTGGGTGCCCAGGGCAGAGAGAGCATTTGTGTTATACTCTGGGGGAGGGGACATGATGGGTGTCTTGGCTTTGTGGATGTCCTGAGTCTGGTACACCTGTGAGCAGGTAGGCAGAAGGGTGGGTAGGGCAGAGCTGTGCCAGGCATTTATCCCCTTCCATCCCAGGCCCCTCTGACTCCAAAGCCTGAACTGCATCTTTTTTAAAGGCCAAGCTGCCAAAGAGAGTGGGAGTGATCAGAGAGTGACTGAGTGAGTGAGCTGCCTTGTTTGCCCCAAGTAAAGCTAGCGTCCTGGTCTCTGGTCCTCTGCTTGGGTCTCTCAGATGCAGGGTTGGGCCCAGGGCCCTGTACACCAGAACAGCAGCCCCTTGGCTTCTGCCTGAGTTGCCATAGTAACCCTGCCACCCAAAGGGCAGGATTTCCTCCATCCTAGCTCCTGCGTATGCTAAATGGTCCACGGGCCCCTGTGCCCTGCTCCCCCCACAGGTCAGAGTCAGAGTTGGAATCAGGGCTACGGCAACTACTGGAACCAGGGCTACGGCTACCAGCAGGGCTACGGGCCTGGCTATGGCGGCTACGACTACTCGCCCTATGGCTATTACGGCTACGGCCCCGGCTACGACTACAGTAAGTAGGAGAGAGGGAGGCCCCATCCGCTCACCCACCCCCAGGGGAGGCAGGACAGACAGTGCAGGAGCCACTGGCAGCAGGGGCTTTGGAGTCAGACAGGCCTGGCTCAGCCGTGAGAGCTACTCAGTTTTGAGCCTTAGACTTCCGGGTCTTAGTAACATGAGGAAGGCAATCTCTGCTGTCACAGGGCTGGTGAGGATCCTGCGAAGATGCATATCAAGCGCGTGGCACAGGGCAAATGCTTGTAAATAGTAGCTGCTATGGTTGTTCTTATCCCTAGGTCAGGGTAGTACAAACTACGGCAAGAGCCAGCGACGTGGTGGCCATCAGAATAACTACAAGCCATACTGAGGCGGCAGCAGGAGCGACCAACTGACCGCACACATGCTTTGTTTGGATATGGAGTGAACACAATTATGTACCAAATTTAACTTGGCAAACTTTCTATGGCCTGTCCCATGTGCATCTTATTTAAAATGTCCCCCATGGAAATCACTCTCCTGTTTACTATTTCCAGAGCTCTAGTTGTTTAGGCAGCGTGTGGTGTCTGAGAGGCCAGAGCGCCATTATGGGCTGATTTTTATTACCAGGTCCCCCAGAACCAGGTGGGAGGCTCTGCTTCCTGCTGCCGCTCTGCAGCCTGGACCTGTGGACCCTGGTTGTAAAGAGTAAATTGTATCTTAGGAAACCAGTGTCACCTTTTTTTCACCTTTTAATTTTATATTATTTGTGTCATACATTTCCTGTAATGGAAGTGTTAATTTTACTGTACTTTTTGGTACCTTTTGGGAATCTAATGTATTGTAAGGTATTTTACACGTGTCCTGATTTTGCCACAACCTGGATATTGAAGCTATCCAAGCTTTTGAAATAAAATTTAAAAACCCCCAAGCCTGGGTGAGTGTGGGATATGCTGTGTGAGACCTCTTGCTCAGGGTGGGGGGGTGCCAGGTGCCCTGGACTTTGGGCTTCCTCCTGCAGCAGGCCCAGTTGTGGGGGTGTCCTTTAAGGACTGCCCTGCTTAGGACTGAGCCCTCTTTAAAGAAAGGAATAAGAGGTCTATGGGGAGTGAGGATGGGGCAGTGAGGGCTCACATCCCCAGCAGGCATGTCCCCTCCTGGGACACTTTAGAACACCAACCTTCTTGGCTGATGAATGAAAATCTATTCTTTACACACTAGGGCAGTGCCAGGGCCAGCTGAATTGGTGCACAATAGTGCCCCTCCTGGCTGGTGAAGAAAAGCCTGCTCTAGCAGGGGATGTTTACTGGCTGGATTGGAGCCCAACTCCAGGTCTGGCATTTGGGGCATACGACTAGGTGGTTACAAGAGGCAAGGGTGGGTTGGGGTTCCACATGGATACAGCCCCATAGGTTTCAAGGGAGGAAATAGCTGTTCTGCCATCAAGTGCAAGCTAAGCAGTGGAGATTTTCCAGTGTTGAAGAAACTAACCTTTGGGAAGGAGCATCAACCAGAACAAACAATGTCTTAAGAAAAAAAAAAAGGCTGTTTTCCGAGGCTGCTTGCTGCTGATGGTAAGGAACCCGCTTTGCATCTCCCAAGAGTAAGAAGCAAGGCCCACTCACCTGGAGTACACTGAGGCAGAGCAGGGCTAGCTTAGAGCTGGAGCCTCAGCGTCTGGCAACTTCGCACCTTCTCTTCCATGTCTGAAAAAGACCACAAAGCCATGCGGACTCAGTCACTTTTCTCTGCTGAAGATGCCCTGTGACTTCAGTGTCCAAACTGGAGGACGGTTTAGAGATTGGCCCTCTGGCTCTCCACACCCATGTCCCATTCCCCAAAGGAGTGACAGCAGTTTCCTGAAAAGCACAAAGCCAGCCCTCAATTCCTCTGAGATTTCTAGTCTCTGTCCAGGATCCCTAAGCCTGTTCTGTGGCCAGCCTTTGCCCCCCACAAACACTCCTTTTCATCAGATCCCTACCGCTTCCAATTTGTGTCTAGCAGGGATGGGCCTCCACCCCCAGCTCCAGAGCCCCGGGATTAGGCATGCCTGTGGGTAGCAGTGATCACCCAGAGGTAAGAGGGCACAGGTTGCTTGGTTGGCAGCTCTGATCTCTACTGTGAGATGCAACTTTGCCTATGTGGGGTCTCACTGAGCTATAAATGGCAACACAGCCATGAGATTTCCTTGTAAGTGGATTTAGGGGGGGACCCTGGGTTGACCACGACCATCCTAGGTGATGGGGAATGTGGGGTAGAATTTCATTTTGCGTCCAGTCTCAGTGGTACAAATCTTTCAGCCACCCAGCAGCCTCATGTGACCTGCCTCATACAGAATGAAACGACTGCCATCTCTACATTCTAGGCTGGCGGTAATGGGGTCTCAACTCCCACTGTAGTTCTTACGGCCTGTTTCTTAGGCCCACCACTGATTTGTCCTGCGTACATCTGATGCCTGCCGAGGCAGGCGGGGTGGTGGCTCAGCTTCCACCTGCTGACAGCCCAGGAAGCTCTTAGGCACAGGCAGGAATAGGAGCAGGTTGGGCATGAAAGACCCTCTGTTGCTCCCTGCACCGTCCAGAGGACACGTGCCTCTGCTCTTGGACTCTTGTCCCCTCCCTGTTCCATGCTAGGAGGCTCTAGTTGCTGGCTTCAGGCTGGGTTCTAGAGACATGGCCAAGCTCAGGCTTCAAGCTCACCAGTCAGAATGGCATCCAGCTTTGCCACCACCTGCCGTGCATTGTCCAGGCTGAAGCACATTGGGGGTTTAAACTTCAGGATGTTCCTCCCAGGGCCATCAGTGCTCAGCAAAACGTAGTTCTCCTTCAGCCTGTGAGGACAGGACACCCCTTTACATGGCCTTCAAGGCCTTCCTCAGCCTGGCCTTGGCCTCATGTCCAGTGCTCCAGCCATACTGCCTTCAGGGCCTTCCATGGGCCAGTTCCTGCCAGGACACTACTGGTCACCCCTACCAAAGTCCTGTGCATCTGGCCCACAGCCGCCCCTGCTTGGGGTGCACTGTACCTGGTCCTGAGCCTGCTGCCCCACAGAACAGGCGCCTTGCCTCACCTAACCCCTGGAGCCACAGTCCAAGCCAAGAATGAATGGCCACAGGGAAACAGCAGACTGCAACAAGAGTCCCTGCATTCTCTGGTTTTCTGTGTGGTTGACGTGATGTATGTTGTTTTTTTAAGAATGTCCAACACTGCAGTTGGTGTAATGGGCCCCACGTGTCCCTCACGAGCTTCAGGAATCTCAGACCTGGCCTGTCCTCTGGGTTATCTTAAAATTCCAGTTGAAAATTTCCACCTCTTCTTAGGAAGATGGCTTTATCTTAGCATCGTTTGTAGCTAATAATCACTTTTAGTCCACAGTCTAACCTCATCTCTGAGATGAGGGGTCTGCATGGTTGTGTTTATATTCTTTGATTCTTGTTCCCATTCTTTTGTAAACCTTGTTATTTTTATTTCTTGGGGGTTGGGAGTCTACCTTCTGGTTTCATTTTCCTATCCCAGTCTTTCTGGCACTGACCATGGCCATGCCAGAAAGGACAGGGCTTGGACTTTGGAGTTAGACGGCCCTGGGGCCAGATTGAGCTCTTGCCACCTAGCAGGGTGACTGCAGGTGACTTACCCATTTCCTCACTGAACTGGAAAAGCACCCCCAGGGTACTGTGAGATGAAAGAGTAGGCTGAACTTGGGATCTGTTTCCTTCCATGCCACCCGACCATTCCGAATCCCTGAGACTCCTGGGAGCGGGGTGGGGGTGAGCTGGGGATGTGACTGACAGCAGAGAGAAGGCAGGGACTAGGAAAGGCCAAGTTCAAACACAGCACAGAGAGATTTACATCAATACCATGCATGTCTCACAATTTGAATAAGGACACATCAAATACCAGAAGAGCTTTCCATGGTGGCAGTGAGGGAAGGGGGAGGCCTGGGGAATGGAGATAAAAGGGAATAATCATTAAACTAGAAGTCATCCTGAGGCCTCAGGGTCCAAGTGAAAGGACAAGCAAACCAGGGCAGTGGGACTGGTGGAGTCTGAGTTCTGAAACACCCCCCAACCCAGCTTAGGAGCAGGAGTCCTGTCCATCCCAACACCTGCATGGCAACCCTGAGTCTGGTGCTGCCACAGCTCCCTGGTGTGAATGAAGGTGCTTCCCTTCTCCAGGCCAAGGTGGCATTAGTAGGGGTTCCTGGGTCTGAGTGCCCTGCTAGCTTGGGCATTCTAGGCAGAGGTGCTGCTCTGGTCTGGGAACAGCCTGTGTCTCATCTGCAGCCTTTGCAGTCAGGCACTGGGTACAGAACTACTAACCACTTATCTCTGTCCTCAGCTGATAGCATCAGCTGTCCCCCCGCCCACCACCACCCCCGGCCCCAGCCCTCTTTCAGTCAAGTCTGTGGCCCAGAGTGCTGGGGGTACAGATGAGCCTCCTTTCCACTAAGGGCCTCTGGCCCTGCAAAGAAGCACCTGTGGTGTCTCTTACTCCAGGAAGCAACTTGTTTCAAGAAGAAAATACCTTGATACCAAGTAGGCAGCCTCTTCAGTTGCTGGTGTCCTTGTGGCCTCATCTTTGATCAGATCCACACCAATGAAGAGCCCAACACCCCTGCAGGGGAAGGTGATGACATCGCAGGAGGCCATGCCTGAGGGGCCAGGGTGCTCGCCTCACCCCGTCTGGGCTCCTACCTGTGCCTCTTGGGGAGGCTGAGCACAGGAGGCACCTTCAGAAGGTGGTGAGAATAGTTTCAGGGAATAACTGGGCTGGGAGGGATCTTTGGTGTGGACAGAGGAGAGAGGCTTGGGGATAGCTAGGGGTCAGGTCATATCCTGGCTTTCTCCTCCCCGGGAGTGCCGTTTTGGGCAACAGCACCTCTCAGTGTCTCAGTCCTCTTGAGAGCGGACATAACCCCACCATCCCAGGTTGTTAGGTGAAGAAAAGGTACCACACTGGGCCCTGGCAGGTTGGTGGTGACTGCTGCCCCCAGAGCCTCACCTGACATCCCCGACGATGGGATGTTTGATTTTTTGCTGCTTGAGGAGTTCCATCAGGAAGCTGCCCACACTGGTGGCATGAGCCTGGAGTTGCTCCTTCTCCAAGACATTCAGGACGGCCAGCCCCACAGCGCAGGACACTGGGCTGCCCCCAAACTGAGTCAGGGACAAAGAACATGTCAGATGCCCCAGCAGAGTGGGCCATGCCCCAGAGTCAGGGTGAGGCAGAACTGCCACACGGGTTCCAAGGCCAGTGGCAAGAGCACAGGCCCCAAACCCCTTAGGGTGCACAGTCCTCAGTAGTAGTAAATGGGGTTCAGTGGGGGCCCCCATGGGCTGTCCTGGCTTTCCAGGAGCTAATGTGACTGCAACCCAGGTCAGGTACCCCTGAAGTACAGTAGGAGCCCCTAGAAGATACAGAATCAGAAGAGAGGGTGTCCTGTTTGTTCCCACAGAGCTAGTCTTTACCAAGAGAGGCTTTAAGGCCCCATCTCCTGGGCCCAGACCCACAGCACTGGACTAGGCACTTCCTCCTTCAAGGAGGGTCAGCGCAGCACGCCAAGGCCCACCCAGGGAAAGCCACTTAACACACACCTGGAGGTCTTTGGCTCCTTTTCCCTGCCCACCCTGTCCTTATTCTGCAGGTATCTGAGTGGAGACCTGTTTTTTAGAGGATCACGAGCAAAGTGTCTCCTGCAGACCACGTTTTTTGTTTTGTTTTTAAACTACGTCTTTAAAAACATCAGCTTTGTTGAGGTATAATTTCCATATAAACTGTGTTTAAAGTATAAAGTTCAATGTGAGGTGACAAATGTATGTACCTGTGTAACCTCCCTCGCAGTGAAGTTACAGAACATTTTCATCACTTCCTTGTGCACCCATCCCACTACTGCTGGCCCCAGGCAACCACTGATCTGCTTTCTGTCACTATGAGACGCTACAGGGGGCTTTGAAAGGCTGTGACATATTCCTGGGAATCTAGAAGGCCATTCATATGCACAGGGATGTGCTCATGCTGAGTGCTGTGTGCGTGCTCAGGAAAGATCTAGAAAGCCCTAAGCTCTCACCACTGGCTACCTTGAGGCTCTGCAGAATGAGGAAGTAAAGGCTAAGGCAGTTACAAGCTCTTGGCTGAGTTCCAGGTCATTAAGGCGATCTCATGGTTAGAGGACCACTGAGCTAATCAAGCAGAGACTACAGTGGCCACACATGACAGAGAACACACTTTACAGAATTGGTTCAGAAAAGGCACTACAGCACCAGAAAAAACCACCATGGGGAGGGAGGAGAATATGATCTCCACAGTTGCCATATTATATTACTTAAAATGTCCAGCTTTTAACACAATTCTGAAACATGCAAAGAAGCATGGCCCAGACATGGGAGAAAAAAAGCAATCAATGCAAACTGTCCCTGAGGAAGGTGACACTAACCTTATTGGACAAAGACTTTAATCAGATGTTACAAATATGTTAGCTGGGTGCAGTGGCTCATGCCTGTAATCCCAGCACTCTGGGAGGCCAAGGTGGGTGGGTTGCCTAAGCTGAGGAGTTCGAGACCAGCCTGGCCTGGGCAGCACAGTGAAGCTCCATCTCTACAAAAAATAAAAACAGCCAGGCGTGGTGGCACATGCGTGTACTCCCAGCTGCTTGGGGGGTGAGGTAGGAGGGTCGCTTGAGGCTGAAGCTGCAGTGAGCCACGACTCCAGCCTGGGTGGCAGAGCGAGCCCATCTCCAAACGAGCAAACAGAAACAACCCCAAAACCAAGAATGTTAAGAGAACTAAAGGAAACTACACCTAAAAGACTGAAAGCAAAGCATGAAAACGATGTCTTACCAGAGTCTAATGATAAAGAGATAAATTATTAAAAATCAAACAGAAAATCTGAAGTTGATAAGCACAATAAATGAACTGAAGCATTTTCTAGAGAGGCTCAACAGATTTTTTTTTTTTTTTTTGAGACAGTCTAGCTGTCACCCAGGATGGAGAGCAGTGGTGTGATCTCGGCTCACTGCAACTGCTGCCTCCCAGGTTCAGGCGATTCTTGTGCTTCAGCCTCCCAAGTAGCTGGGACTATAGGTGCGAGCCACTACATCTGGCTAAGTTTTGTATTTTTAGTAGAGACGGAGTTTCACCATGTTGGCCAGGCTGGTCTTAAACCCCTGACCTCAAGTGATCCACCCAGCTTAGCCTCCCAAAGTGCTAGGAAATTACAGGCGTGAGCCACTGCGCCTGGCAACAGCAGATTTAAGCTGGCAGATGAAAGAATCAGTGAAAAAAAAAAAAACGTCAATTGAGATTGTACAGTCTTAAGACCAGAAAGGAAAAGGAATAAAAACAGTCATATAGACCCGAGGACACAAGCACACCAACATACTGAGTGTCCCAGAAAGAGAGGAAAGGGGCAGAACAAATACGAAAACTTTAAAAACCCTATATAACTTGCAATGAATTGAATGTGTCTCTCCCAATTCATATGTTGAAATCCTAACCTCCAATGTGATGGTATTAAGAGTTGGGGCCTTTAGGTTATTAGGTCACAAGAAGAGAGCCTTCATGAATGGGATTATGGTTTTATAAAAGGGATCCCAGAGAGCTCTCACCCTTTTGACGACATGAGGGTACAGCGAGAAGTTGGCTGTTTGCAACCTGGAAGAGGACTCTCACCAGAACCCAACCATGCTGGCACCCTGATCTTAGATTTGCAGCCTTCAGAACAGTGAGAAATAAATCTGTTTATAAACCACCCAGTCTACAGTATTTTGTTATAGCATCTTGAACTCACTAAAACATAACTTTTAAAGAAATTAAAGCAGCAGTTAAATATCTTCCCACAAAACACAAGGCCCAGAGATGATGGCTTTATAGATGAGTTTTTACCTTCAAAGGACAGATGATCCCAATTTTATGTAAAAGAAAAAGAAGAAATATTTCCCATTTCATTCTACAAGGTTAGTAGGACCCAGTTACCAAAACCCAAGGTATAAGAAAAAAATGTGAGCCAATATTTTACTCCTGAAAATAGAGGCCAAATTCATAAAATATAAGTAAACAGAGTGCAATAATATAGAAAAATGATAATATTCCATACCCAAGTTCGATTTGTCCCAGGTCTGCAAAGATATTAGAAAAGCCATAAATATAATTCACTATGATAACAAATTAAAAGAGAAGAAATATTGCTTTAATACATGCATAAAAAGAACAGGATAAAATTCAATTCCTTTTTATAGTAAAATCTCATAGTAAGTTAAGTAGTAGGAGATTTTCTTAACCTGATTGAGAACATATAGTAAAAATCTGATCTAGGCCAGCTGCGATGGCTCACACCTGTATAATCCCAGCACTTTGGGAGGCCGAGGCAGGCAGATCACCGGAGGCCAGGAGTTCAAGACCAGCCTGTCCAACATGGCGAAACCCCATCTCTACTAAAAATGCAAAAAATAAGCTGGGCATGGTGGCACATGCCTGTAATCCCAGCTACTCAGGAATTGGTGGCATGAGAATTGCTTGAACCCGGGAGGCGGAGGCTGCAGTGAGCCGAGATCATGCCACTGCACTCCAGCCTGAGTGACAGAGTGAGACTCCATCTCAAAAAGAAAAAAAAAAAGTATATATATAGTAAAAATCTAGAACGAACATCATCCTAAATGGACAAATAAGCATTCCCATAAACTGGACAAGTACAAGACAAGCATTGTCACTGCTTGTATTCAACTATCTCCTAGAAGTCTCTCACCCAGTGTAGTATGACAGCTATAATCGTTTACATAGACAAAACAACCAAAAAAAGTCTGCCTATAAATTATTAGAAATACTAGAGTTTAGCAAGGGGATAGATATAAGATTAGTATAAGAAAGTATTTTATACATCAGCTGCAAACAATAGATATATAAAGACATCACCATTTCATGATAAAACTATCAAATATCTAGGACTAAATCTAATGATGTGTAAGATCTTTATAGGGAAAATTATAAAACATAAATATACCATATTCATGGATAGGAAAAGGAATATTGTAAAGAAATCAATTCTCCTTGGCCTGGTGCTGTGGCTTATGCCTGTAATTCTAGTACACTGGAAGGCCGAGGTGGGTGGATCACAAGGTCAGGAGATAGAGACCATCCTGGCTAAGACAGTGAAACCCCGTGTCTACTAAAAGTATGAAAAACGAGCCAGGTGTGGTGGCGGATGCCTGTAATCCCAGCTACTCAGGAGGCTGAGGCAGGAGAATCGCTTGAACCCGGAGGCGGAGCTTGCAGTGAGCCGAGATCGCGCCACCACACTCCAGCCTGGGCAACAGAGCGAGACTCTGTCTCAAAAAAAAAAAAAAAACTCCTCAAACTGATCTAAAGATCAAGCAATTCCCCTATCAGAATCCCAGCAGAGTTTTTCAATAAAATGTTTAAAGGTAACTCTTAAAATTTAAATCAAAGAGAAAAGAGACAGGAATAGTCACAGGTGAAAGGGGACTTTTTCTACAAGATACCAGAAGCTATTATGAATGTAAAACCTATTATGAAGCTCTAGTAATAATGTGGTACATGAACAGTAATCTGACCAAAACTGACCAAAAAAGTATAAAAGCTCTGAAACAGATCTTCTCATGTGTGAACTTTGGTTACATAACAGAGGAGGAATGTAAGATGAATGGAGAACAAAGGGAGCAGAAAAAGATTTTTGAAAAAAGGAAAACACTAGTATCACATGCACAAAGGATGTAATTGGATTCCTGATTAACATCATGTACAAAAATCAACTGCAGATGGATTAAGGACCTATATGTCAAAACAAAATGTTAAAAGACTTAAGAGGAAACATAAATGAATATATTTTGTAACTTGGAGTAGGGAGAGATATCTTAAACAATATATGAAAAACACTGTCTATAAAATAAAATGATAGAGTTGACGATGTTAAAATTTAAAACTTTATCATAAATATGTAAAGGGAGTGAAGATAGGTTATAAACTGGATGAATATATTCACAAATACACAACTGACAAGTGATTAGCATCAAAAATATATAGATATGTATGTGTTGGTATACACACACAGATACACACATATACAAACAGACACAAAACTCGCACAAGTTAACCACTAGTAAGTCAAATCAAGAAATGGGCAAAAGACACAGGCATTTCAGTGAAGAGGAAACAAATCGTCAATAAACATATGAAGAGATACTTCATGTAATCTGAAATCAAGGAATGGCATATCAAGACCACACAAGCTACTGTTTTACGCTCCACTTGACTGGCAAAAATTAAAAGGCACTGAAGTAGATACAGTCCGGGTGCGGTGGCTCACGCCTGGAATCCCAGCATTTTGGGAGGCCAATGTGGGCTGATTGCTTGAGCTCAGGAGTTTGAGACCAGCCTGGGCAACATGGTGAAACCCCACCTGTACCAAAAATACAAAAAATTAGCTGGGCATGGTGGCGTACACCAGTGGTCCCAGTTACTGGGGAGGCTGAAGTGGGAGGATCACTTGAGCTCCGGAAGTAAAGGCTGCAGTTAGCTGAGATTGCACCACTGCACTCCAGCCTGGGTGACAGAGTGAGATTCTGTCTCAAAAAAAAAAAAAAAAAAAAGATGCTGGGCACAGTGACTCACACCTGTAATCCCAGCACTTTGGGAGGCCGAGACGGGCGGATCACGAGGTCAGGAGATCGAGACCATCCTGGCTAACACGGTGAAACCCTGTCTCTACTAAAAAAAATACAAAAAACTAGCCGGGCGAGGTGGCGGGCGCCTGTAGTCCCAGCTACTCGGGAGGCTGAGGCAGGAGAGTGGTGTAAACCCGGGAGGCGGAGCTTGCAGTGAGCTGAGATCCGGCCACTGCACTCCAGCCTGGGCCACAGAGCGAGACTCCATCTCAAAAAAAAAAAAAAAAAAAAAGATGCTGGGCACAGTGACTCACACCTGTAATCCCAGCACTTTGGGAGGCTGAGGTGGGCAGATCACCTGAGGTCAGGAGTTCAAGACCAGCCTGACCAACAGGGAGAAACTCCATCTCTACCAAAAATACAAAATTAGCCAGGTGTGGTGGTACATGCCTGTAATCCCAGCTACTAGGGAGGCTGAGGCAGAAGAGTTGCTTGAACCCGGGAGGCAGAGGTTGTGGTAAGCCAAGATTGTGCCATAGCACTCCAGCCTGGGCAACAAGAGCAAAACTCCATCTCAAAAAAAAAAAAAAAAAAAAGATATACACTATATACACTACTGGTGGCGTGTTAACTTGTGAACTACTTTAGAAACAAATGTCATTATCTTTTAAAATTAAGGGTGAACACATACCATATGAGCCAGCAATTCCTCCCTCAGGTACAATCCTAAGAAAAACTCTTGCCACATGTACAAGAGAGACTTATGAAAATTGTTCAGAGCAGGACTGTTCATAATTGCAAAAAAAAAAAAAAATGGAACAAGCTCAAAGCACATCAATAGTAATGGATGACTGAACTGTGGTACATTTATACAAAGATTATAAAGCAGTCAAAGCAAATGAACTTCAGTGACAGGCAATAGGAAGGATTCTTAGTGATGTTAGCAGAAAAAAAAAAATCCCCAAAGAGTATATACAGCATGATAGACTTCATATAAAGTCAAAAAACAACTACATAATATGGGATTGAGAGTGATGGTTACCATGGTTATTTGGAGTGATGGGTGGAGGAGGCAATAAGAGGGAATTGGGGGAAACATCTGGAGAGATGCAGGATATTATCAAGGTCCTAGCTTTATTAGGGATGCTGGCTTCCCAGGTGCTTAGAACATTAAGAAAGGTTAACTGAGTAACTAAAAGAGGGCTATGCACAGACAGATGTTGAGAGCCTTCCATGAACCAAGGATTCTATCTAATGATGTACACTTGAGGGTCAAGTACAACAAAGAAATAAACAAAAGTTGGGATGCTGCTCCACTGGGCCTTTGTTGTTCCCCTTACACAATCTACTTGATTTCCTGCTCAGCCAGACTCAGCTCTGGTCTTGCCTTCTGTATGAAGCCTCCACTGCTGTCCCACAGCTCTTCACCCACCTCTTGCCTGGGATGTCCTTTGTGCTGTCACAGCACCGTGAACACACTACTTCCACTGTCATCCTCCACACTGTCATGACCATTTGTCTGTGAGCCTGTCTTTCGCCGACTGAGCTTCTGAGGCTGTGTGTCACGTGGACACAGAGTGATGGTTTTTGCCTGAATGCACCAAAGTGTCACTTCCCTCACCCCTAAGGACCTTATCCTGCCTTATCTATCTTGCCAAATCCTGACATGTTTCAGTCCCCAATTGAAACTGGCTCTTTTTGAGGAACTTAGTGAATTCTCAACCCTCTGTCCCTGCCCTTCCTCCTCTGGGCCTCCTCCTCTCCTCCCTGGACCAGTCTCCCTTCCTCCAGTTCTTTCTCCACACTGAGCACCAGAGATCTTTCCAAAGGGTACTCTCTCCAGGATTAAAACCCTCCTGTTGTCCTCAGTCTTCAAGATCAGTGCAGACTCCTTGGCTCTTTCCTGTGGGTCTGCTGCTGCCTGCCATGGTCCTCTCACCTACTCTGTAACTGCTGCCTCAGGGCCATTGAATATGCTGTGTGTCAGCTTCACTCAGGGGAAGCTCTTGACTGTGTACCCCAAAGACAGGGAGCCACTGCAATGTGAACTCTGCTCCCAGATCATGTGTTACCCAAGTAGACCACACTCCTCACGCCTCTTAACCAGCTCAAGTTCCAGCACCTGACACAGGGCCTGGCACAGAATGGGTGGCATCTGTTGGAAGGAAGACAGGGACTCGTAGTTTTACATATATTTTATAAGACAAGGTCCCTTGTGACAGCTTTTGGATTGACACTAATTTTAAAAGATGTTTTATGTTCTCTTACCTGACCTGGCTATAATCTCCTTAAGGATAGCGTCTTGGAAGCGTGTGCTGGGCACAGTGCTAGCCCTGTAGCCTTTGCTGACTAAGGACAGGCTGATCACTGGGGGCCTAACAGAACCAATGTTGCTCCCTTGACTTAGAGCCGTCACTCACCGTGTTGAAGTACTCAACGCCGGTGGCTTCAAATGCCCTCGCCACAGGTTGGGTTGTGGCCACACAGGCAACAGGGTGGCCATTGCCAATGGACTTGCCCATGGTGACGATGTCAGGGACAAAGTCTTTTCCCTGGAGCTGGAAGGCCCAGAAGTGCTTGCCTACTCGGCCAAAGCCAACCTGGATCTCATCGGCAACAAAGACCCCTCCGGCCTTGTGGATGTGCCTGTGACAGAGGACAGATGACTGACATGGGGGCTGTGGTTGGGAGGGATAAGATCAGGAGTCAGGAGGTCTCGGGGCTTTGCATCCTGGCTCTGCCAGCAGTAAGGTGGGGGCCTTGGGCAATGGCTGGCCTTCTTTGGGCCATTATTTCTTTAAGGGCTTTGTCTCAAAATTCTGGCAGTCAGGCCAGGCTGAGGTTGGGATTTGGACCGGACGTTGGAAAACCCCATAGAGCCCTGCCCTCCCTAGGGCAGACCCTGCCCACCTACTCACTCTGCCACTTGGGAGAAGTAGCCAGCAGGGGGAATGATCTGCCCTCCCACACTGGGCAGAGACTCAGCGAAGAAGGCTGCAATCTGTGAAGAGATGGACACTGGGGACACGACCATGGACGTGCGCAATGACCAGCTTAGCCTGCCCTGCTAGTGCTAGCTTAGTCCGAGCAAGTCAAGTCACCATCATTGCTGCACCCCTACTTTGGGCTCCACGTTACATCTGAAGGTTTGTGACTCAGTTTTCTCTCAGGCCTCCGGCCAACTCTTACCACCTGGATGCCTCCAGGCCCCTAGTACTTGGCATGCTCCAAACTAAATGCACTGATTTTTCCCCCATAAGCCTGTTCCTTCCCTGTCCCCCATTCTTTTTTTTTTTTTTTTGTTGAGACAGAGTCTTGCTTTGTCGCCCAGACTGGAGTGCAGTGGCCGGATCTCAGCTCACTGCAAGCTCCGCCTCCCGGGTTCACGCCATTCTCCTGCCTCAGCCTCCCAAGTAGCTGGGACTACAGACGCCCGCCACCTCGCCCGGCTAGGTTTTTGGTATTTTTTAGTAGAGACGGGGTTTCACCGTGTTAGCCAGGATGGTCTCGATCTCCTGACCTTGTGATCCGCCCGTCTCGGCCTTCCAAAGTGCTGGGATTACAGGCTTGAGCCACCGCGCCCGGCCCCCTGTCCCCCATTCTTGATCCACGCCCCCTCCCTCAACCCATCAGTCAGCACGCCCAAGGATTCTACCTCAGCCCCCTCGCTAAACCTACTCCTTGCTCTCTGCCTGGACATGCCTGCCTCTTGCAGATCTGCCCATTTCTTCCTTGGACTCCTGCAGAGGCCTTCTAACTGAATGACTCTTCCAGTCCATCCTCCACATGGCCACCAGGGTGATGATGCCTCAACCCAGAGAGCTGAGCATGTCACTGTTGTTTAAAACCCCTCAGTGACCCCTTCTGCATATGGCAATGATTTCCCAACTGCATTCTGCCTTACAGGTGGGAGGGCAGGACAATGGGATGGGACACTAGTCCCCCACACCCGTTGCAATCAGAGCAATCTCCGTTTTTAGGTTTTATGGAAGTGGTCGTGGAGCACCTGAAACGCATAGGCAAGGCTTCCCTGGTCGGGTTCAGATAACCTTTCCGGCCCCACAGGCTGCCTTTCTTTGTCGTACCTCCTGTGTCTGGCTCTGTCGCTCCTTCAGTGAAGCCTTCAGAGAGCCCTCACCTGTCGCCAACAGTCTTCCCTCTGTTATCACCGTGGGTAACACACCTCTCTCTCCGACGTCTGCACCTCCACTCCATCTCCACTCTACTGCCCCTGTCAGGCCTCCCCACAGCTCACTTGGGGTCTACTGGCCACTTCGTGGTCACCTGACCTCAAGCTGCCCCATTCAGATCTATCCCCCACATAGCCCTGGAGTCGGAGAGCAGCGCCAGCCCCAGAGCTTAGCGCTCTCCCGCTTAAGACTCTGGTGGTTCCCGGGGGCCTCCAGGGCAGAACTGCAGCTGCTCAGCCTAGTTCTGGTGCCCTCTGGCATGTGGACCCTGCCTGCCTCTCCAGGCTCAGCCCCTGGCCACACATTCACACGGTTCCTCAGCCACCCGTCGGGATGCCCTTCCTCTGCTACTCCCCACCCCATCTGGAGTGGCTGACCGCTACTGTGTCAGGGAGCACCTCCTCCAAGGACCCCCCTTGACGTTCCCCAAGGCCTGCTCAGGCTCTGGCTGCCTATCATGCCCATGCTAGTGCACTCAGACTCTCTGCTGAGCCCGAACTGCCCCTACCCCAGATTCCTGGAGGGCAGGGCCTCGTTTGGTTTTCTCTCTGGGTTCCCAGCATCTAGCACAGTGGTGGTGACAACAATGGAGGTGACATTAACTGTTCGCTGGATTGGACAGGCGCGGACAGAGTTACCTTCCTGCCCTTCTCCTGTGCACTGCTGACCACACGTTTCACCTCGTTGGCATAGGCCACAGCTGGGTTGGGGTGGTCCTCCCGGTAGGGGCCCCGGTAGGTGTCTGGGAGAGGTGCCTGTGGGGAGTGACAGCGCCACGTTATCTGGGCTTGGGGACAGGCACCGACCTGTTGTTGAGTTGGGCAGTGCATACCACGTGGACCCACTCCTTCTGGCCATCCAGGTTGCGGAACTTGTAGGGACTGATGTCAATCAGGGAGCTCAGGTGGCCGTGATACGCACTGGGGAGGAGAAGGGAGGGTAGGCTCGGGTCCGGGCAGCTCCTACTCCCTGGCCCAGTCTGACCATGGTCTCCCCACCCTTGAAGACACACAGGGGAGGCCAACTTTCCTGACAGAGCCCCCAGGTTCTTGGGAACTTGGGAAAGAGCACAGACTTTGGAGTCAGCAACACTTCTTGCAAGACTGCTGACTGGCTATGTGACAGCAGCTCATCATTTAACCTCTTGGGGTTGTTTTCTCTGCTGTGAAATGGGGTGGGAGTTCCTCTTTCTGGTTTATAATGAATCTTAAATGTGTTGATACTGTCAGCCTCAGCTTTGTGCACATCACACACTCAATTCATGGGAGCTACTGCTGTGGCAGTTTGAACATGCAAAATGTTGTGGGACCACCTTTGACTCCCTTACAAAGCGCACTCTGCTCCCCAGAGCTGCCTTCCCAGAATGGTGGCCCAGGGTGACAGAGCCTCCGGGAGGTCTCAGGCCTGGTCCTCTGCCTGCCACGCTTGTCTTCAGTAGCCCAGGCCCCTTATCCTCCCTGCCTAAGGCACCCGGAGTGAGTCGCACAGATCCCCAAGCAGCCTGTGGGCCAGGCTTCTGGAAATGGTAGGGCTGTGAGTTGCACTTACTGGTCTAATACCACCACGTCCTGGTGTCCCGTGTAGTGGCGAGCCAGCCTCAGGGCCAGGTCATTGGCTTCTGACCTATGACCGAAAAGGTGGGCATGACTGAGACAGTGGTCCGAGAGCTTCCCAGAGAGAAATGCTGAGGGCAAGAGGACCCTTCCAGCAGCAAGAAGATTCTCAGGACATCAACTAGTCAGTCACTTGCTTATTTGTTTGGTATACATCAAATGCCTCGTATGTACTAGAAGCTGGGGGCAAAAAGAGTAGGTAAAACAGGCCGGGGCGGTGGCTCATGCCTATAATCCCAGCACTTTGGGAGGCCGAGGTGGGCGGATCACGAGGTCAGGAGATCGAGACCATCCTGGCTAACATGGTGAAACCCC